GCTGAGACTTGGACATAAAAAAATGTAATTTAAAAAGAATCGAGGCCTTCGAACTCTGGTTATACCGCAGAGTATTGAAAATATCATGGACTGATAGAATTACAAATAAAGAAGTACTGAAGAGAGTTGATAAAGAAACAGAACTAAGTACCACTTTACAAACCAGAAAACTGGAATACCTAGGCCACTTGATGAGGGGACCAAAATATGAAATTTTGAGACTGATAATACAGTGAAAAATTCAAGGAAGAAGATCTGTTGGCCGAAGGCAGAACTCATGGTTAAAGAATCTACGTGATTGGTATCAATGTAGATCGATTGATGTGTTTAGAGCAGCAAGTTCTAAAATAAAAATAGCCATTATGATTGCCAACCTCCGTAGGGAGACGGCACTCTAAGACAAAGAAGACGTGCCGGGACACCGACACTACTCTGGTGCAAGGTCGTGAGAGGTATTTACGGGCCCAGCTCGTTCAACCTCACCTGGCTCTTGAGGAATGAAAGTAGAGTGCTCCCACGAGATGCTCGTCTCGGATACTAGGAGCGTAGACCGGTGAACGAGATGGCTATACATCTCGAGTGCGTTTCTACAGACCCGACACGTCGAACGACAGCTATCCACCTCTCATTTCCTTCCCATTAATCGCCTCTTACGACAGGCAGGGTCTTCTGGCCTCGGCCTTATTCTTATCTCCGTGAGCCGAACGGAGCCTGGAACGAGACAGTGAGCCTTGCTAATGAATAAAGTGTGGATGTGTGAATGCGTATGAATGGAGAATTAATGAATAAAGGTAGTGCTTCGGAAGTGATGCCGGCCTTACAGTGGCCATTCCGCTTCCGGATCGCTGGATGACAGAGGAGGGTCTGGTTTAGCAGGTAGGCGCTCGGCGTAGATTCGGCGACGAGACGGCATTTTAAAGTACCTTGGAAACTATCGCCGGGAGTACACTGGACTGAGATGTCTTTTGTAAATTCCAGACTCCCCCTCTATAAAGAAGAAAAAAAATTGTTGGTCTTGGGGCAACTCATCATCAGGTTGTTCTTGCGGCAAATCTTGGAGGTCTTTAAATTCCTGCAGGAATTTATCAGATAAACATTTATCATTTAAATTCAAATTAGAAGAACTGCCGGAGGATGGTGCGTATTCTGAACCGCTACCCTGAAAGGCTCTTCTTCATCATCCGATTCATTCCATAAATTATCGGGCAAATATTGTAATTCATTGCATCAAATTTTCTTTTTCTGTAATAAAATACAAAGTATGATTCGAGAAGGATAAATACGTCCCATATCATAATTCTAGTGGAATTCATATGTCCCAACGTATTTTTTCCAATAATACCAATTAGTTCTTCTTCTTAAGGTGCCGTGAATCGTCTTGTCAGGTGAGGTGAGGTGAGGTGAGATAATACCAATTAGTACCTACACTAAATTATTTGTAATATAAAATATTACAGTATTCTATTGACTTACCTATCCATTATGTATTGTTCGAGTGGGGCAGACATACATGTAGGGGAGAGGCTTGTACCTTGGACAGGATTTTTTTAAACAGGTATTACAAATACAATATTGAAGTTATATTTTTAAAATTTACACTGAGGCACGTATAAACTATTGTAGTATGTAAAATAAAAATAACAACTGATTACATGAGTTGGTTTTATTAAAAGAAAAAAATTCCTGAACGCCTACAATTTGCCCAAGGTACAATACGTATTATACCTTGGGCCACCAAAAGTTGTACCTTGGGCCACTGTTAAACATAATTACCAAAACTTTTATTTTAATAATTAACAGATACATTTAAAGTTAGATAGGAACAAAATCCTTTTAATATTTGTTTTATTAAGTTTTGTTTAGAATAAGAACCATTTTGGGCAAAATGAGTTACTAATAATATAAATCAATGATTTATTATTATTAAACATCAGAACAAACAATTTAAATAACGTTAACTTTACTCAACCGAATACTTTTCAAAATCCAAGTTAAAAGTATAAATATCCTGTTGACGTTTTGAGGATCCATCTTTCTTGGGAACTTCCACGACGCTTTCAATGATGTCTTCCTTTTCGATTTCATATGCCTTTATATCAATCAGGTTTCAGATAACCGGATTCCCTTCAGGTAATTAACCATTATTGTCGGAGTGAGTATGTTAGTAACATTTTAGTTACTATTTGAGTAACATAAAATCATATGACCTTCTTTCCAATAAGCTTCGTTAGGTATAATCTACCAGTTTCGAGTGTAAGCTCTGTTCGAGTGTCTGGTTTATTATTTTTAGACATATGTCCTTCCCAATCTATGTCTGACTTATACTCGAAAGACAAATCCGAACTATCATCGAAATGGATGCTTTCGACGTCTTCGTTGTCAGAAGATGATGAATTGTTGAGATCCTTTGATTGAGGAAATACTGGTTTAGTCTTTTTGATTTTATTGCCTGTTAAATGATGCTTTCTTGGTTGAGTGTCCATAACTTTTCTTTTCCCAGCTGTTTTCTTCATATTTTTGTTCATTCTTTCCTCGTGCTCGTCTTCTATTTTATTTTTCTCAGGTGTATCAGTTAAGACTCGACACTTGTCCTTTTACGACCTTTTTGTATGTTTGTTCTTGGAGGTGCCTTAGGTAAAGGGTGGACTACCTCTGGTGACTTGTATGGTAGCTCAGGTTCTTCATTCTCAGCAGTTATTTTATAATTATTATTAGGGGGTCTGAAATAAATGTTTTCATTAATATTAGTAGGATTATCTCTACCAGTGACCGAAGAACTATAGAACTCGTATTCTTGAAATACATTTTCATTCACTGGCCAGATTTCTGAAACTCTAAATTCAGATTCAATATTTGTGCGATTAAATGCTAGTTTATATGCCTGACCAGAAATTTCAGCGACATTGTAAATAGATATGGGTTGTCCTGGGCTTCTTATCATCCATTCGGTGCATGCATTGTTATAATAAGTTTTATATGGGCCAAAAACACGGTGATCGAGGGGCTGGAGCTTATGGCTTATGAGGTGGAATAGTCAATATTATGATCCCATGTTCTGTAGCTAAGTTGATGATTTCGGGGGTAATATAACTTTCATGATTGTCTAATATTACTAATATTTTATCATCGATGGAAGGCTTTGTGATATGTATAAAACGCCTTTAATATTCCAAGAATATAATTTCATTGGACCAACCACTAGTATGAGCTGTTCCCACAAATCAGCAGGTGCACCTTTCAGCATATAGGGCTTAAAATTCACTCTGGGAAATATGTACATACGGGGGACAGCATTCCCTGAAGCACTTATAGCAGCGACAAATGTTACATTTATCGTTTCTTTCTCTACTTGTAGCAGACCCTACTTGTTTAATACACTTACGAGCTACAATTTTTTCAGGAATATGAAATTAGTGTTACCACTCTCATCAATATTGTATATTTTACTGGGTGTGAAAGTATGCTTATTCATGACTTCTTTTAATTTTGAAAAGAAAAATAATGAGACATTGTGTTTGTTGAAGCTGGTTCCGCGTCTAGTGGCTTGTGGCTTTCTTAAACTAAGTTGCTTATGGCGACTCATAAAGTCAAGGAACCACTGTTTTCTGGCACGATAATTATTATTCCAGGACGGTGGGACCGGCTTATTGTTGGCTTTAGCGTACTCAAATGCTAAAGTTTGTAAAGAGCGACGTGAAGTCCATAATGCATATGACTCACTTGAGTTAAATACTGATATAAGTCGTTCTCCTCATCAGTGGAAAATACTTTTCGGACTGCGCAAGCACCATAAGAGAGAAAATTGTTGGGACCACGGACCAAAAATCTTTGATGTGTCGTCCGTGACACATGGAATTCCTTTGCAGCTAATCGGACCGATATTTGCTTTTCTTGAATTGCATTGTATGCTTTTAATAGGTTTTCATGATCTGCCGGAGCTCTTTTTACGCCGTTTTTGCTTCTAGGCATCTATAAAGAAAAATAGCTGTTTTTTCCACTTTTTATTTATCCACCTACAAGAGATTGTACCTTGGACCGCGGCCCAACGTACAAGACGTGATAGTTGTACAAGGTACAAGACTCGGCCGAAAAGAAAACGAATACGAATCTAACCTAAAGAAACTGTTTTGTTATATTTCTCACTATGTTGTTTAAGTACCTGTTAGAATAAGCATACACACACTGTGATTTGATTTACCATATCCGTTGACACAAAAATTAAAAAAAAAATACTTTTCACAAAATAATTCACTATATGTTTAAGACAGCCGCAAATAATTTCTGGTGACGTTCAACAACTAACCACAGAATGACGACGATTGTAGAGGAGCTTGACATAAGAAACAAAGAGTTCGCACGCCAAATTAAAAAAAAAATGGGCTGGTTCATGGTACAAGCTGGCCCAAGGTACAAGCCTTTCCCATACTTCTGACGATTACTTTTCCCTCTAGATTTTTTAAATTAACATGGGACAAAGATAAGCCATTAGTTATTAAATTAAGTTAATTTGGTTTTAAATAGAATTGGGTTTCACTGTACCATTGATTATAAACCACTACACAACTTGGTGATGGTTTATAATCAATGACTGTACTTATAAGTAGGTACCATTTATAGAATTAATTGTACTTTTACGTTGACAGTAAATCATATTTCTTGTAATGAATGCCCATCATAACACCAAAAAACCTCGTCGAAACCATTCAAATATTTTCTCGGAAATTTCCCAAACTAAAAAAATGATTACAAAAGTCTGAATCGCTAAAATAGATAGCATGCGATCATTGAGTATTTGTGGTTATTTGGGCCTTATATTAAAAAATGAGGTAATATCTAATACTCTCTTTAATTTTTTAACGAATCCGGACAGCATTTCTTTCCAATTCGATAGTGGCCACCTCTATATTTTCCGTTCGGAGGATATCGTGCTAGATCGGGGGGCACGGCTGTCGATTCGGTAGATGGGCACATTCGCGTGCGTTCCAAACTAATTACTTTGGCCGTCACCGGCCCCCAAGACTCCACGTGGTCTGTAGACCATGCTATAAATCATCACGAAATAACATCATCGAACGTATTCGCGTTCGCGAAAACGTATCGACAATTATAATCTCTCATTCTCAATACAAAAGTAAATAAACAAACTGCAGTGGAGTGTCAGTGGCAACTAGTCTACAATAAATAATAACACCAGATCATGAAAATAAAACCTGAAAAAATAGTTAAGTACACCAGAGACATTCGTAGCTGGGATATCGTTATATTATCTGTTGTAAGTATTGTTTCTATTTTATTATAGCTAGTACAACAAACATTTTCATGAGAACACCTGATATTGTATTGTTTATATTTGACTTTATCGACGTACAATGCGGATGTAAGGATATAACTTGTTGCTTACAGATAAACACTGGAAAATTTTAGTAAAAGCGGATAAATATTTTTCAGCCGTATCTCTTTTAGATCACATTTTTTTTGTGTTTGATTTTTCGCTTATTTTCTTCCAGACTTCAAGCAAAGAATATAGACGCTTAATTCGTCTATATTCGTCTGAATGCGGCTATATTCTTTGCTTCAAGGGTTGAAAGAATTTATGTTTTAAATATTCGTCACACTTTTAGGAAGTTGAGGTATATCTATGTACTAATAAGTAAATATGTTAAAACTATAGTTATTCTTTTGCTTGCTGTTGATTACTTTACCTTCTTGCTTCTCTCCAAAGCCTCATAGATTAGAGAAATTAGCGAATAATATACAGGTATATAAAAATTGCTTTTGATAAATTTGGTGATATCAATATGTAATACACAAAATGTGCAAAAGAAAAAATCATTTAAAATAAGATTTTGTGAAGTTATTTTGTTAATTATTGCAAAAATAGCTTCAAAAGACGATTTTTTGAAAATTAATAATAATGTTTTCTAAAAATACACAAAACCTTCGTAATATGGACTTATAATAGGAACAATATCGAATATATTCAGCTATAAAAATTTCAAGAAGTTTTTTCTTCTTCTTATAGTTCCTTCTCTTATCGGCGGTTGGCTATCATCACAGCTATCCGTACCTTATTGGCGGCTGCTCTAAAAAGATCTACTGAACTGCAACTATACCACTCTCTTACGTTTCTCAGCCAGGAAATTCTTCGTCTTTCTATGGATCTTTTACCTCTGATTTTACCTTGCATAATGAGCCTTAATATCTTAATATCTCATATTCAGCACCTCTGGTAATGTGGCCTAAATATTCCAGCTTTCTTGTTTTGATGTGCTGTAAGACCTCGCAATCCTTTTGTAGCCTTCTTAACACTTCTGCATTTGTAACTCGTTGGGTCCATGGTATTTTCAAAATCCTTCTATAGCACCACATCTCAAATGATTCCAACTTCTTTATATTATCCACTTTTAGTGTCCAGCTTTCCATTACATACAACAAAGTCGAGAACACGTAGCATTTTAAGGCTCTTATCCTCAGATCCAGAGGAAGGTCTCGATTGACAAACATTGTTTTCATTTTTATAAATCCTTGTCTTGCAATTTCAATGCGTGTCCTTATTTCTCTATCTTGGTCATTGTTTTCCCTCGATATCTAGCCTTCCTAGAAGCCAAGAAGTTTCACGTAACAGTTATTGCAAAATTGAAATCTTTGTCTTTTATTTTTTGCAATACAGCACTAACTGTAACATGTTCTTTGGCTTTATACATATTTAGCAGTCATAAGTTTAATTGACTGATGCAAATCTAAAGTTTTTGGATGTTGACGATTTCTCTCCTTCTTCTTCATGTACCATGTCCTTTCAGAACGTTGGTTACCATCATAGCTATTTTAATTTTATCCACTGCCACCCTAAATAGCATGCTTGTATCTACACCACACCAGTCTCGCAAGTTCTTCAACCATGAGGTTCTTTTTCGTCCTGGACTGCGTTTGCCTGCTATTTTTCCTTGCATGATATTTTGTAGCAATCTATATTTGGGACCTCTCATTACATGTCCGAAATATTCCAGCTTTCTCTGCTTGATGCCTTTTATGATCTCAGTAGTCTTGGTGAGACGTTCTAGTAATGTGGAGTTACGAATCTTCTCCACCCAGGAAACTTTTAAAATTCTTCTATAGCACCACATTTCGAAAGCCTCAAGGCGATTTAGATCGATTTTATTCACAGTCCAGGACTCGACAGCATAAAGTAAGACCGAGAACACGTAGCAGCGAAGTAGGCGGATCCTTAATGCCAATTTTAGGTCTCTGTTACATAACACCTTGGACATCCTTCTAAAAGCAGCTCTAGCCTGCTCTATTCTGGATCTAATTTCGCCGTGGTTTTCTGAATTACAATTTAATTGCTGTCCAAGGTAGACGATTTTATCAACTTGCTCAAGTTTGGTATTATTTACATATATAGACGGTTTTATATTCTGTTGTTTACTTATTACGAGTATTTTGGTTTTCCTTATGTTAAGATCCAGGCCTGCCTCCCTACAACTCTCAACGATACTATCCAGTAGTGTTTGCAGATCTTCTTGACTAGAAGCTAGGAGTACTGTATCGTCCGCATATCGCAAATTATTGATGACTTGGCCGTTCACAAGTATTCCTTCTTGTTTTTCAGAAAGTGCTTTTCTGAAAATTCTTTCGGAGTAAACGTTAAAAAGCAGGGGTGACAAGAGGCATCCCTGCCGTACTCCTCTTTTAATATTGAGAGCTTGTGATTCCACACCATCTACTAAAACTGATGTTGTTTGATTCCAATATAAATTTGCAATTATTCGAACATCTCTGCCGTCCAAGCCAATGTCTTTTAGAGCTTCGCTCAATATAGAGTGCTTAACACGATCAAATGCCGTTTGAAAGTCAATAAAACAACAGTATATGTCTACAGATATATTACGACATCTTTGAGCAAGTACGTTCATCCCAAACAGTGCCTCTCTCGTTCCAAATCCGTTACGGAAACCAAACTGAGTGTCATCCAGGTATTCCTCACATTTATTGTAGATACGACCATGTATTACCTTCAGAAAAATGTTCAATTTTTTAAATTTTTCAATTTTTCAAATGTTTGCTGTCTTCTTAGGTAGAGCTATAAACAGTGAGTTAGACCAACCATTGGGTAGTTGTCCGCTGGTATAAATGGTATTGAAAAACGAAGTTATAGCCTCTAAAACATTGCTATCCTTTATAAGCTTATATATTTCAGTTGGAATTTCATCAGGACCAGTCGCTCTGCCATCTTTTGATGATTGTATGGCCTTTATAACCTCACAGCGTGTTATTAGGGGTCCGTCGCAGTTAGTAATATCGGGAGGTGAACTACTCCTATCGTCTTCGAATAGGTTCGTGACGTAATTTTCCCATTCTTTAAGTTTGTCCTTTACTTCGAATATTACTTTACCATTTTCATCCTGTAGCAATGCATTTTGTTTCTTATTGAAGATACCGGCCGCTTCTTTTACTTTTTTATACATGTTAAACGTGTCGTATCTTTTTTCGAGTTCTTCAATGTCATGACACTGTTTGGCTAGATGTTGACTCTTTGCTTCTCGTATTTTACGTCGAATTTCTTTTTGTATGCTATTGTAAAGTGTTTCGTTGGTTTTTGCTAGTCGCCGTTGTTCCATCGAATCCAGTATATCATCTGTCATCCAAGCCTGCCTTTTTGGCTTTGACCTGCCTTGTAAATTTCTCACACAGATTTCTTTTACTGTCGTTACGATTTTATTTAAGCCCTCATCGACGTTTTCACCAATATTTTCCAAAATTAAATTTTCGTTCAGTTGTCTTTGAACTGATTCCTTAACTTTCTCGTCTTGTAGTTGGGCTGTATCAATCTTTTTCCGAGACTTCTTTTTGATCACCTTTTTTAATTTTCGATTTCTCTTGCTTACTTTATTTATCTCATCCTCACTCATGCTATTAATTCTTCGGAATGTCCTCTCTGAGATACCGCAAGCATCGCATGTGCGTTTCTATACTGCCATAACAGATGCCAATAGACCCATATTATTTTTTTCTAAATTGAAATAACTTTCGACTTTAGAACTAAACGCCGTTCTTCTGGAAATAACACTCTACGTTTCGACTGTCTTTTATTTTCTTTCAAATTACTCATTTTGCTTTAAAGTACCGCCTCACTACACTACTATAAAAAATAGTTACTGATATACAACTTCTACACCCTAAAAAGGACGAGGGTTGTACAACAGACGAAACAATCGAACACAAATTATTTAACAGCCAATGCTAAGCAAGCATAAACACTGTATTGATTGTAATTGCAAAAACCCTTCGCATGTTTTAAATAAGGTTTTTGCTGATTATGTATTTTGTTAAGTTATTAAAACACAAAAATACGACCCACGACCGTCAATTAATTTTTAACGATAAACAGAAGAGAAATATGATGACGTTTGAATTTGATCTACTTTGTCGATGACAGTGTCGTTCATAGAAAGATATTTTAAACAGCATGAATCATTTGCAATGATTGTGTGGATTTAAGAAATATATTACTAAACAAATTTTTTAAGTGTGTATAAAATCTTAACTGTCTTTTTTCCTGAGATTACAATTATTATGACACATAGTATTTACTCCTTATTTTTCAAATAATATGTTCTTGTAAATGCATAACGTTGATTATTCGGTAAACCTACATTATACGATACGTCGGAAGTAATTAAAAAGAAATAACATTGCAATAAAATTATAAACCAATAAACGATAACTTGTTGAGCACTGCTGATTGAAACAACAGAGCAGTAAAATGTTATTCATAAAGGTAGTGTAAAATATATCGCCGCTTATCTGGTCCGATAGTAATAAAGTTACCAACATTTAATTGCAATGCGCTCTTCTTAGGTGAAAAATCCTATTATCTATTTTCCCTGCTCGTGGTACCAATATTTTTCTATGATCGGCATTAGGTCGCAAGTCATTATTTTTTGTATTACCTACCTAAGTTATAAATGCCGACCAAAAAAACTTACCCCATTGAGTGGTAATTTTATCTTACATGTAACTCACATGTATCGATAATAATTGACGGCATAGTTTGTCAAGTTATTATTACATACTGTTTTATAAGTGATTCATGCTGGGTCAAATGACCCATTAAAAATATCCCATGGGCTTGTGATTATTATAGAAAATTCTCACTATTTTATTTCATTAATAAGTTGAGTTCCAAACTATGAAATAGATAATAGAAAAAAAATGTGTAAAATGTTGGATTATTTTTTAATTAAACAAATCTCAACACTTTTACAATTTAGA